ATCAGATACCACAGTGCAGGTAGAAATCCTGCAGAGACACAGGTGGTCCTATTCCCTGTGAACAAAGAAAAATACAATCTGTGGAGATTTTAAGGGGTGACCAATCCTTTACTAATCTATTTTTTTATGATTCTTGGCAACCCTTGGAGAAAAATGGATGTTGATCCTGTTTGCACAATGGGATTGGAAGCAGGCAACTAAAATGTGCATTTTGCCTAGCTCCCTGTAAAATCCCATGTACACTGCCTGCCAAATGTATTGGGACCGCAAAGTCAAAAGTGTTTTTGCTTAACAGTTAAGAAAATTGTAATAACATGTAAAAATAAAGCACATTTTATTTTTGGTAATTGCATGAATACATTTGATCATATAAAAACAAAAACATGCTTTCTGTTCAACCACGTATATTCTGGAGGCAATAAATGCTTGAAGTCTGTGACCCATTTAGCTCACTGTACTTTGTGTAATTATTTGAGATGCTTTGTTAAATATTTGCTGTAGCCAGTTTGAGTTTTTGCCTGTCCTTGAGGTGTACAGACTTGAATTCTAACTCAGAATACCTCTGTCCAGATAGACGTGGCCAGTTTAAGATTTTCCACTGAGTCTCTTGATGAGCCCCTCGGTGTATATTTTGGGTCATTGTCGTGCTAAATGATGAAGCGCCACCCAATATGTATGGAAGGGTTTTCTTTTCCGTAAGCAGACAAATTGTTCCTGTCAACCTCAGAATTTATTCTCAAGCTGCCACCATTAATTAAATCGTCCATAAGGATAAATGAGGAGGCTGTGCATTCCCAGGCCCTGACACTTATACAGGATGTCCACTGTATGCGTCACAGCTGAGGTGGTGCTCATTGGAGCGTCTTATCTTTCTTCCCTATTGAACTTTTCCATCACTTTGGTAAATGTTTATTTTGGTCTCATCTATCCATAAAATATTATTCCATTTTGGCTTTTCTATTCTTGGCCCTGATGAGAGGTTTACTTCTTGTGGTGTAGTTTCTGCAAACCATGGATTTTGATACCTTCATCCCTGCACTATGGAGATGCTGGCAATTTTTCAGTGACAGCTATTTTAAGTTTTTCCTTGACAGCTCTGATCATTTTTCTGTCATTGACTGCAGATGTTTTTCTTGGCCGATTGGCGATTATACCTGTGGTTTCCTTTTTTATTTCAGTATATCCAAATTGCCAATTCCCGTATGCCCACTTTCTGTGACATTGTTTCGGTTGATTTCTTTATTTTCCTTCAAATTCAAATAATTTAAAAAAATTCTTCAAAAGAAAGTTGGTTTCCATTTTGTTTCTTGACTGTCTTGAGCTAGAGAGGTTGACTGGATGTTCGGCTCTTTTTTAAGCACCCCAAAACAAGCACCTAACTGAACACCTGTCAGCAGCAATTGTCCCAATACTTTTTGTCCTTCAAAAGAAGGCCAGAGAACCAAGGCCTGAAAATTTCACACAGACTGTATTCTGATATCACCTTGTTATGCCTCTGTCTCTGTTACAGCAGCAGATCTATTTTCCATCCATTTTCAAACCAATACTCTGTTGTAGGGGAGCAAGTCAGGTTGCAATATTGGACTGGATGCCAGTCCATTACAGGGCACACACAGACACAAACTCAGTTTTTCAGAAGCCAATGAACCATGTCTTTCGACTGTGGGAGTAAACCAGAGCACCAGGAGGAAATACCTTATATTAATAACCAGCTGCTGACTTCACTTCCTGCAGTCGTAACAACCTTGTCCTCCCCTGCTTTCATAAATTCAAATTTCACGTGCCTCTTTCTCCCACTTGAGTCACAGCTGGGTCAAGACCCGTACTCTGCCTACCTGATGCTGAAACAGTGATGTCCTCATTTCATCAAGACGAGACTTGTAACACCTTACTACCTGGGGTACCTTTTAAGTCAGTAAACAGGCTTCAGCACGTCAAGAATGATGTGGCTCATGTGCTTACAAAAAGTGCTCTAAATCAGCATGTAATTCCCACTCTCTGTAAATTGCACTGGCCCCCAGTTCCTCCAGTTGCAGTACAAGGCTCTGAATGATTCAGCTCCAGATTATTTTAAGGATTTAGTGCATGAGTATTGTCCAGCTGTTAATCTGAGATCTGTTGATTCAGGGGTCCTTACTGTGCCAAAGATCAGGCAGCTCCACAACTTCGAAACCTAGAGCTAAAATCCATTAGAAACTGGTCAACTCAACATTTTAAAAACATGCGTAAATACCTGTCTTTTTCTAAAATTCATTACATATGATTTATTTCAAAGTAGGTTACACAAAGAAAGTTTGTTGTTATCTTTTTGTAGTTTCTTATTACTGTATGTCTGTTTTGTATGATGAGTGCTAATTTACATTGCTTTGAGGTTTTTGAAATGCACACAAAGATTATAACAATTAACATTCTGTTTCATAATATGAAAACAAGCTAATAATCCTATTACATTTATTTACAAAAATAAAATAAATTTACATAAAATGTAAATTTTGTTCAAAATGAAATTTCTGAATTAAAATTAGGCAAGGAGTGTCATAGAAAAAGTTTTGAAAAGAGTTATACATTGTATCTTATAGCCTTATCTGTAATGGATCTGTGTATGAATTTGAGCAGTAAGTACAATTAGGCAAAAAATCGACATGTTGCAATTTACTATTTAGGCCTGTTTGCTGGAGTGAGAAATCAAACCAAAATGTTTCTTGAACCTTTAAAGCTAAATGTAAACATAAAGAAAGAATTTTAATCTACCACAATGAGAAATGACTCCCTATCCCCCCAAAATATTAATACTCTTACAAATGAATATGCTAGTAGCATGAAATGAAATCAGATCCTGAGGTTAATATTCTCTTACAGAGACCAAAGTAACAGAAATCATATCAAAACCAACAACCAAACAAAACTATATATTTTATAGCTGCCATGACAACTTACTTTACTTTCCAGAAGGGCACTCTCATCAGCATTGTGAAGAGAACAAGCTATATATTTTACTTAACCTTCACACAGAAAAATAATAAAAAGCAGATCTCAAAACTCACTCCTCCAGGTCTCCCATGATTAACTGCAGTTCATGTGTCTGTGAAGAAACGGGCCTGGTCAAACACAGATGTCTGAGTCAGCATGTAGACATTATCAACAAGATAGCTATTATGGGAACTACAGTGCATTCATTCAGATCGAAGAGATTTTACATTGGTCCCTTTCCTTCAGGGACTTGCGCCTAAACATGGAATTTATGGACATTTTAACAGCTCCCACGTCTTGATGGGTGAAAACAGAATCCTTGCTCAACGAAGGCAAGGAATGTTTGATTCATTCAAGGTGAGAGAGATATGCTAGATCTCATTTTTGTGTGAAACTTTCTGCTTCATATATACATAGAGATAAGGGTTGTGTTAAACAGACTTTGACTAGTTTAAATAAAAGAGACCTTGTAAAAAAAACCCCACAAAACAAACAGCTTGATACATTTCCTCTTCAGAAATGAATTTTGAGTGAAATGTTCCTCTTTGTTGTTAAACACTGAGGGCAGATGGAAAACAAAATATTTAGTTATCATAATTTTGTTATTCATTTCCTTAAACAGAAATGACATGTTTACCACCTCAATATTCTTGAAGTGGCTTAGCATCCTTTTGATGTAACAATTAAAACTAAAATAAACAACAATATGCAAGTAATTTAACCTCAGGAATTCCTGACACTTGATGCAAACATTTGGTGTCATTCTGTGTCAAAATCCTGTTTTTCAGGGTTGGCAAACAAATGGTGCAACTTATGTAAACATCAGTTCTGCAGCTACACCCTGAAAATGCTGGCTTTCATCTAGGTGGTAATGTAGCTCCTATAAATACAAAAATAATTTATAAATGGTCTGGAACACACGTAGGAATTCAGAATATTCAATGGCTATGCTAATCCCCTGATGTCAATACATTTCTTTATAATGCCGGTTTGGATTAAGTAACAATCCAGACTGTTTGGATTTACTAACAAACAGCATAGTCACCTACCTAGCTTTCTGCAACAGTTTAAATATTTGTAATGCAGCAGAATGAGAAAGCTTGGCACTTTCAGTATTTTTTAAAGAAACCTTATGCTGTGGAGTTTGTATATCCTCTCCGTGTTCACGTGGGTTTCCTCCGGCTGCTCCAGTTTCCTCCCGCGATCCAAAGACATACTGGTAGGTTAACTGGCTTCTGGGAAAACTGGCCCTGATGTGAGTGTGAGTGTGCCTGTCTTTGTGTCTGTGTGTGCCCTGCGAGGGACTGGCGTCCTGTCCAGGGTGTCTCCTGCCTTGCACCTGTTGTCTGCCAGGACAGACTCCGGCTCCACCACGACCATGAATTGGAAGAAGCAGTTAGAAGATGGATGGATGGATGTTAGGCTGTGTGAAGGGACACTAACAGAAAACATTCACCTCATTCCTCATGAGCCTAATACGTTTAAAAATTACTCTGAAAGTCATTTATAATTTTGGCAGTCACTGCAAAAAGTGAATCCATTTCTGTGTTTGGTGTATTCTGTAAAGAATATCTAACAATGTTCAGCTTCTCCCCCAAACTAGCGGCCTTTAATCTTTTTTAACCTTTCTTTCCCAGCATGCCCTTTTCAAGGAACCCAGACTGCCAGGGGTCAAAGGGCATGCATCGGTCATCCTTAACCCAACACAAGTCACCTTAAAGACCGTCACATCTCAACAGCAGGACAAGGACAAGGGGGGCACAGTGCAGGATAACTCCGAGAACTAAAATTCCACAAAACAGGACACTAAAACTAAAACTTAGCATCTACATTCAACGACTCAACTCAAAAATTCAGGGAGAAATGACCATTACACTAAAAACAGGGAGTGAGTGATACAATCTCTTGATTTGTTATTTCTTGCTTATTAGCATGAAAGCAATTTTTCATATTATTAATTGTAATTTCTTGCTTAATTCCTTGCTTAATATTATCATATTATTATGATGTGTTACTGCTTCCACTCACAGAAAACTGGACCCAATCTCATGATCTCTGCTAATGACACTGTTTCCAGGATCTTCCAAGGTTCCTCAGTGGTTAGGTAAGAGCTACTTTCCCTTTGCCAGTTTTCCCTATAGGTCTTCACCGCACACAGAAACATAGTATAATTTCATCCCTGGCCATGGACAAAATGCACATCTTAAAAGCTGCATTCTTGAAGGGCTACATGCCATCAAAAGTAAATGCCCTCTTGGACAAATGAAACTGCAGGTAGTCATTGTAAACGAGAATATGTTGTGCTCAGTTGTCCTGCCTGGAAAAATAAAGGAATGAAAAAATCCTTGATATTTCGTCGACAGAGAACTTTGTTATTTGGTTTCTGAAGATCTGGACATTTTTTCTTATATTTTTTAAATACACAATCTATCACAGGAATCAAACAGGCGAAAAACATAGCACAGTAACTGTGTTTCCTATGTTTTAAGCTGACTTACACAACGATGATAGATAAGAGATAATTCCCTCATACAAAAAACAGTACTTGATCAAGAGTTTTGCCGTCTTACTAAGTCCGTCCGCATTGTTCCCTTAGTATACATTGAAATGGGGGCAAGCAGCCCTGCACCCCAATGGTCTGCCATTTTCTATGTGATGGGGATTAACTGTTGCTCATCCTCTTTGACAGTCATCTCTAGATCCGCCTTTTGCACCTGGAAATCACATGAAACAGAATTAATGCAAACATGCTGCTGTCCCTGCTCTCGTCACCCAGATTCCTTTCTTTAAGAAGAGTTCCTAAAATTAGAACACAAAAGGCAATTCATGGTGTGCACGAAAAAAGTTGCCCTGGCAGCTGAAGCAGCAGTAATTGTCTAAATAAACCAGCAGATTGTGACATGATCTCGTATTTATTTGGTTTGTGACTCACCATGGTGAACCAAGCTCTACAGCAAGGGGAAGACTGCCAGGACACCCCTTGCTGACACATCTGCTGTCCTTTATTTCATGCCTTGGGCTTTTATGACTTAGAGCTGAGAAAGTGGACCGTGCTATATCACCCCATCGGAAGAAGCACGCCTGTCATCAAGGCCATCCCTCTGTCCTAATCATACCACTCAGCGTTCTCCCATATCACACTTGGACAAGTCTAAAAGGAAATTGAGAAAGCTTTTGTGCCACAGCGGTGGTTACAAAATTGATTCAGAATTTTCCACATACAGTACTTTGAGAGCAGCAGGAGCAAACACATACTAATGCAACTAGTATAATCAATGCAGAGTTCTGTCAAAATATTGAAAAGGTAAACAAAAGAATATCCTATCAGACAACCAATAAATCACATTACAAAATTCTGTTACTGAAAAGGATGAAGTGTGCCCTGCTTGTTTTCTACTTGTGCCATTACTTATTCAAACTGAAAGATGTATAGCCACCGGGGACTTCAATACAAATGGAATCAATAATTAATTTTGAATTAATAATCTTATGAATTAATATATTCCAGTACATAATTCAGACATATTCATATACTTAGTCTTTTCAAGAGAATGTCCAAATCTGTGTTCTATAACTTTGTGCAGCTAAGTAGGAGTGAGCCTGGTCAGTACCTGGATGGGAAACCTCCTGGGAAAAACTAAGGTTGCCGCTGGAAGAGGTGTTAGTGGGGCCAGCAGGGGGCGCTCACCCTGCAGTCTATGTGGGTCCTAATGCCCCAGTATAGTGACGGGGACACTGTACTGTAAACAGGCGCCGTCCTTCGGATGAGACGTAAAACTGAGGTCCTGACTCTCTGTGGTCATTAAAAATCTCAGGGCACTTCTTGAAAAGAGTAGGGGTGTAACCCCGGCGTCCTGGCCAAATTTCCCATTGGCCCTTACCAATCATGGCCTCCTAATAATTCCCCTCTATGAATTTGGCTACATTACTCTGCTCTCCTCCCCACTGATAGCTGATGTGTGGTGAGCGTTCTGGCGCACTATTGCTGCCATTGCATCATCCAGGTGGATGCTGCACATTGGTGGTGACGGAGGGGAGTCCCAATTACCTGTAAAGCGCTTTGAGTGGAGTGTCCAGAAAAGCGCTATATAAGTGTAAGCAATTATTATTATTATTATTATTATTATTATTATTACCAAAAAGGTTTAAGATGGAGAAATGAAACAAATAAATGTAATTTCATTGATCGTGAATAAAAAGCCATGGAGAATATTCCTCAGTGTCCTCTCTCCAGTGCTGTACTAGTTTTACAATAGGTTCACTGGGATAATACAGAGCCTTTAAACGTTCTGGAGGAATCTCAAAACACTCCACCACAATACCTGGGAAATGAAAACCAGTGAGCAGAAAAACAGCAAAAAACTTTCAATGAAAAAAAGCAACAACTACAGAGGAGGAGTCACAGCTCCAACAATTTCCAACAGTTCTAGCCTCTAAGGAGCCCTACGCTCTAGTGAGGAGTTTACAAATCTGACGTGCAGCTAATCCGAGGAGCTTGGCTCAGCCCAGCTACACTGAGGGGATCTATGATTTGCTATTCCTACATGTTTGTTAAACACTATTTGCGTGTTGATCTCACTGTCCTAAAGGCACTAATAACATGGCCCATTAACAAGCCAATAATTAGCTTGTTTTCCAAATATACAGGGGGAGAGAGAGATGCACAGGCAGGCAATTTACTTTGATTTCATGCCACTTGTGGTCTCCTAACAACATTGCTTAAAGAGGGTTGGTAGACTGGAAAAATTTACACTGTGGACCAGAAACTGGACATGTGGATATCTTTAGAAAAACTCCACTCCCTGATAGCAGTTTTCTTCCTTTTCTGCACACATTACAGATATGGCAATCTGTGAACAAGCCTGGTTTCAACACATTCTACACCTTATGAATGCAAACCTATTATTTCTTGTGGATTTCTGTCTTTTACCCAGATCCCTTTTGCTCTATTTCCACAAGGCAATCAAAACGTTTTTTTTTGCAAGTCCTGCAGAAATCTGTTATTGTGTTATGCTTGAATTCTCTTTTTAATACATTACTTTATCATTTTAACAGCTGCATTAGTCAATGTATTAATTGTACTGTGAAAGCAGAAACAAAACAGGAATATATCCTATAACCTATATCACTGGAATGAATTTGACTAACTCTTACTCTTTTGATCTGTGATTGGGCCTTGGTGTACTGTAGTTCAATCTTTTAACACTGTTTACGAAACCAGCTTTGCATGCCCTAACACGTCTTAGTGGTTTCACATTTTATCGGAGAAAGATAGTGGAGTAAAGGCATTCTACAACATGGCTCACACTTTCCACCACATCCTAGGTCTCCAGTTTATGGTAAATGATCCTCAAGTCTTCGTTGAGTGAACAGAAAACAGACCAGACGATCCAGCTGGTGTTCTCCCTAGAGTCAACAAAAGACATCTATCACAGAACACTCTGTCGTAGCATAGGAGGACCTAAACTCTATTACTTTATTGTCAGGAACAGCTTCCCCTTAATAAAAACAGTAAATCAACAAGGACTGTCTATTTTTAGATATTAGGCTTGCCCTTGACAGTAGCCTTTCATTGGTGGCTGACAGTTCTGTTCATTTAGTTCATTTTTATGCCTGCTCTGTGGTTAAATGCAGAGAGAGAGAGATTTATCTGTGTGAGAGCCGCTGTAATGAAAGGTAGTATTTTCCATCAAGAAGATGAAGAAGAAAATATGCTCACGCAGAATCGTATCTTATTTAACCCTTTACTGGGGATACAAAAGTTTTTATGACTTTTAAGGTTGCTGTAGATTGCAGTGAATTAACACCATTACCATTACTTAAAACATAATGAAATAAGCCTGGGCATACAGATCTCATTTGTCACCTTTGTGACAACTTTTTGGGTCCATCTTTATTTTTTGTTAATCTTTCATGCTCAAAATACATTTGCAACACTTTAAACTTCAATCCTGAATCAGTTCTATGAAGTGTTGTGTTGCATTTTTTTTATTGTGAAATTGTGTCTACAATATAGCTACATGTGATGTTGTTAAGACTGCAAATCCAAACAATGCATTCACTTCTTTTGGTTATTTTTAAATCCCTCTATTTGTATGGTAATGCTATACAAAAAATCTGTTCATTAACATAAATTATTATGGTCTCCAGCCATGTTACGGCAAACCCTACTTCATGTATAAATTAGAAATATTGTATGTTACCACTTTCACATTCATAAAAACAGTGTTGTGAGCCATACACATTAATTTCTACAGCTAATTACAATTTAGGTGAATTCCACTGTTAATTGCATTCTGTACTACAAAGCAGATCATACTTTCATGAAGGCAGAGACTGTAGTTTTTAGTGGTGCGTTTCCTGTTGGTTTTCATCAAAGGGTTTTTCCCATCTTCTGCATGTACTTTTCTCATGGTTTCACTAGTTCATCCTGCCACCCTTGTTTCATTTTACAACAAGGTTTGTCACAGCTAGCAAATCTTTATTCATTTTATTACTAGTCTCTCATCTAATGGGAAACAATGGGCAAAAATAGACCAAAACAGATTCGTTTTCTAATTTTACTTGAATCACAACCACTAAAACTGTTATCTGACACTGATCTTACACTTCTAAAAACTAGCCTGTTCTATGAAGGAGGAGGCAAAGTCTGTTAATGTTGAGGTTCAGAATGTTATAGAAATTGTAAGGAAAGAAGTGTGGATTTCTATTGAAGACCTTATAAGGATATCTTAATTGAAAACTTAATTCTCTTACCACATGATATGTCATGACACTCCAAACAGCTAAATGCATTAAATATACGGCCAAAGCTATTTGTACAGAGGCAGTTTTGAGGATGTCTAAAGCCCGTTCACTTGATGTTAAGGGTTTGATGTACAATGTGGTGTTGAAACATTCCTACAGTTTTCTTCAAAACCCAATTTTTAGTGGATGTGGTCTACTTGCACATCGAAAAAGAGAGGCCTATATCTGAATACATACAGATGTGGAGTAAGCCTTTAGACACCCTTTCTGCAAAGCATTTCATAATAGTGGTATAAAATCACTGTAAATTACACTGCGACAATACTTTACTGTACACTGCCTAAATGAAATCACTGT